ATATAATTAATATTTACATTAATTTCGTATAAAATTAAACATATTACAATATATTTTATCATTCACCATAAATAATTAATCTCATATTGATTGTATTTTATTAAAAAAATAACGTATATGTAAAAAAAAAAAAATAAAATAAAATAAACGATCGTCTATGGTGTTTTGATAAAATATTCTACAAAAAATAAAAACATTGACTGATGATTGACTGACCATTCCTTTATTTGAAATTGAACATTTAACTAATTGAATTTGTTTCTTTTGTTTTTGCTTTCAGATATAAATATTTATATAAAAAAACAATATAAACTTCAGTCCTGTGTGATGGAAAGGGGCACCGTTTCGTTCGTTGATTTTTATCATCAAAGCTACCAAACTTACGATGGATATTTCTTGATTCCGGGGGAGGAAAAAAAGGGGTTGAAAAGAAAGCCAATCAAGCAAAGGCCAACCGCTTTCTTATCGATCGAGTTCTGTGTTCTTCTTCTTCTTCTTCTTCCTCTTCTTTCTCTTTCCCTTTTTATTTTTCTTCCTTCTTTTTCCATCCCCGCAACTCCTCCCCCTCCCCCTCCCTCCCCCTTCTCATCACCCTCACTCAACTATGGTTGCAGCGATGATCCTGGCAACGATCAAAAACGTTCAAATTCTAAACTTGGAAATCGTCGAAAAGGGAAAATCAAGAAGTGAACAACGTTGCAAATCTAAATTTGAGTTTGTTCAATGGATAATCGATTAATCGACTTTTTCTTTTTTTTTCTTTTTTTTTTGGTTACCTTAAGATTAAGTTAGTTATTATTATTATTATTATTATTAAGTAAATTATCATAGAATTTCTTCATCTGAATTTTAATTACAAAAAAAATTTAGAATATAATTAATCCTCTCATTTCAATTATTTATATAATTAAAATTATTTCTAGATGAAGTTTTGCGTAGTGAAAAAGAATAAACCAGAGTGAATGAAATAAAAAAGAAAGAAAAAAAAAAAGAAAAGAAAAGAAAAGAAAAGAAAAGAAAAAAAAAAGCAGAAAAAGAAAATAATAATATGGAGACGCTCTATGGTGAAAAATGATGTTTCTCATTTATTTTATATGAAATATTTTTTACGGACATGAGATAAAAAAAAAAAAAAAGAAAAAAAAAGAAAAAATTTGACGGAAAAATTTTGTGGAAAATCGAACATAGTGAACGGTGAAAATCGTCGTCTACCTCACCGAGCTTGAAATTTATTATTTTCGATTGAATATTATTATTATTATTATTATTATTATTATTATTATTATTATTATTATTATTATTATTATTATTATTGTAATATTTGTTCGTCTGCGAATTCGATAGATAGAAATAATTATCTCGTATAAAATAATGTTTTTTTTTTATTTTTAAATCTCGTTCCACTTGTATATTTTTTTGTTTGTTTGTTAATAGACGTTTTCACAAAAAGAAAGAAAAAAAAAGAGAGAACATCGACACAATTAATTATTTATTAAAAAAAAAAAAAAAAAAAAAAAAAATCAATAATTTTCGAGATGAAATTGTACATGCATCTTTTATCTACCATACCGACGACGAAACATGTCGGCCTTAAACGTATCGCATGTTGATAGAAATGAATGATAGAATCAACTGAGTAATAAAATCTATTCAACTATCTTTTACATGATCATATCATTTTATACACAAGTTCAATATACATACATATGAGACATTCCCATAGAACAGACGATTACACATAGAACAGACAAGCCAGCATAAAACCTGTCGGCGAAATAAAAAGAGATAGAACATGGGAGGTTGATCTGTTGTCTCTCTCTCTCTCTCTCTAACTTGCGAATCTTTTGTGTACCGCATGAGTTAGAGAGAGAGAGAGAGAGACAACATCAACCTTTCGTTTTTTGCTGCTATATTTATACAGAGACATTTCCATTTACACAACCTTTCCTATGGTTTGTCTACTTTATCTGTAATATCTCTATGGGATCATTCCACATCAAATAGATCATTTTTAAATTACGACATTTTTTGATTTTAATGAAACTTTCTTTTCATCATTTTTAACATCATTCAAAAATAATCTAAATAATATAAATTATACAAATGTAAATCATTGAAAAATAACATAAACAACATTGTATAAAAGTATTGTAATAAATGGAAAAATGCCAGTTAGAATGTAATGAGCTTTTAGATTATAATACTCCTTCATATATCAATTATTTATAAAAACAATTATTGTATTATTCTAATACACATTACTTAAATAAAGTTCAAAAAATTAATTATAGAAAATTGTTACTAAATCATTTCATTAACCATGAAAATATTAAATACAAATATCTAAAAATTGTCTAAATACTTACAATAAATGAGTTATCTGATTACAATTATTTTATTATTCTAATACACATTACTTAAATAAAGTTAAAAAAAATTAATTAATGGAAAATCGTTGCTAAATAATTTCATTAACCATGAAAATATTAAATACAAATATCTAAAAATTGTCTAAATGACTAATCTGATAAAAAAGTTTAATATAACAATTTAATTTGTAATTTTTGTCAAATCCTTTTTCTGAAACATTATTATCAAATTAAAAATCAAATTCAAACGATTCTTATATTTGATTGATGTGATTACCTGTAAAAAAAAAAAAAAAAATATAAATTATTAATACAAAAAAAAAAAAAAGTAAAACATTATAAAGAGTAATTAGTTTCTATAAATGTGTTACATGAAAAAGGAATCAACAAAATTTGATCATTGGAAAAAAAAAAAATTGTCTAGAAACTAATTACAATTATAATGTTTATGGTAAGCGGTCTTTGGCTGGATTTTATTTACCATGGGATGTATAGCATATCCAAAAATATGTTAAACATTACATGGAAAATAAAATACCATTGCCCGGGTCTAACCACGAGGAGGTAACCGCTACTGAAGACCCAAGAGGGATGTGCATCCTAAAGATGCCCACATCCGAATATAATTCAAAGGAAAAAAACCTAACTCTTAGGCCCCACCATAAGAGTACCATTCAAAAAAAAATCCTTACAATTATTATTATTATCAAGAATATCAAAAAATACAAAATGATAAACAGGGAGTGTAACCTGAAAAGAAATTCAATAGAAACGTTGATGTTAGTTGAAACTAACACATCCTAGAATAATTGCAATATAATTACACATAAGAAAATTACAAATTAGGAATATTTTAGATTTAATTATTTTTTAATATACCTAAAAATATATTATAAAAAAAATAAACATATATATATAATATTAGATGGTACCTGTAATAAATAAAAAAAGATATTAGATGATACCTGTAAAAAAAGAACAAGATATTACATGCTACCTGTAGAAAAAAAAAATAGAAGATATTAGATGCTACCTGTAAAAAAGAATTAAAATACTTCAGTTATTTAAAAAAAAAAACATAATTATTTTATATTACCCTTTTACCATAATTCAGTCGTCATTTGGTCCATTTCCCCCTCTTTTTGAATAGAATTTTGCATCATAGTTCATCCTGTTAAGAAAATATTAAAAATAATAGGAAAGTTATGGTTCGTGAGTGAAATTTTAGGTAAGGATCTCCCAATTATTGGAGATAGGAGAAAATCATGTCTCACATAGGACAGGGTCGCATCCCTGAAGTAGACCCTTTCTTTACGAAGAAACCAAACAAAGAATCTACCCGCTACCCTTTAAAAAAAGAAACTCGAAACGAGCCTGAAAAAAAGACAAAGAAAAGATTATTTTGAAGGTCTGAAAAGATGCAATGAATGCATCGAATGGCAAGTTCCCATTGAAAAACACGATGCACTTACAAGTGCATTTGAATTAATCATATCCTGAAACAAAATAAAATCAAAAAATACCTAATACCTAATACCTAATACCTAATACCTAAAAAAAATGAAAGATATATATTAAAAAATATTATAAAATAATTAGTTTCTATTATGAATGAAATGAAGAATGAATAATGAAAGGTATGGGGTAATGGGAAATGAAAAAAATGATATGATATTAAAGTGAAGGGGGAATTTTGAATGGGATTGTATTCTATAAAATCAAATTGATCAAATACTCGATTTATTTTTGGCAATCAAAATCTTTGGTAGAGAGTTGGTAATGGTAATTCCAACGATGTTCCCCTATAACAGAAAGAAAACTATATTAATTACTTCCATTCTTAAAAAAACCATTATAAATTATTGACGAGCAAAATAATAAAATCTAAAATGACTAACGAACTATTCGCAAAAATTCAACCATGCTGTTGAATTTGCAAATAACTCATTGAGTCTGTAGTTGCCCTCTTGAGCCACAATTAAGTGGGGGCCTCTTCGGCATTTTGCCACTTCTTTCTTGATGCCTACTGTCGGACATTCCCTACGTGCGAGCATGAAAAGAATCATTGACCAAAAACGTCCAATCATTCCCAAAAAGTATTCTCATAATTTAGCATGTTACAACGATCAATGATATAGAATTAGAATCGTCCCTGATTCTAAATTATAAAATGAATCAAAAAAACCCGACCTAACCAACCCTAACACAACCCTGAAAATAAAAATGTGATTAATAAAACATCCTGAGCTTTTTTTTTTACATAGAAAATAATGATTACCTTTTGATCGAGAGAAATATCTCTTCGTCGAAAGGAATATTATTAACCATGTAAATTATCGATTCTATTCTAATACCATATCGTTGTAACATGCCAGATTATGGTCCTACAATTTTGAAACGACTTCAAGACATTTTCACCCAATTACTCTCAACTGCTTATAACACTAATATAAATGAAATACATTTCATATTACAATACCTATGAAATAATTTCATTTATTTTTCTATCATACATACCAATTTTGCAAATATAATTTCGATGTTCGTTATAACTCTGTTAAATAATTAATTACAAAATAAATTCGCGTTTACCGTTAACTATCCTAGCTCGTGGACAATCAATGAACTTAGAGTTCATCGACTGTGCACATGTTACACGAGCACATTTAATCGAATGTCCGAGCAGTTTATTAAACTAATTGATGAACCTAGTAACAATTCGCACTTTTACTATAATATTAAATAATAAAAACGAATTGAAATAAAAATAATACTTAAAATGCAATGCATTTCTTTGCATTATATTTTTATTTAGTTTACATTGAATTATATCAAACATTTCAAAAAGACTAAATCGCGATAGTGCGAAATGTTAAACCTGTTATACTTAAAACTAAGTATCAAATTCATCAAAGATTTTGCGAATTTAATTTCGATTTTATCTCGTTCGAGATAGAATCGATAAATAAATCTTTCAAATGGTTGCAAATATCTTTGAATCATGATACATATTAAAAATGATAGAATTGTCACAAAATAAA